AACAATTATAAAAAATGAATAAATGGATAAATAAATAAAAAGGTTCGGAGCCTATTAATGCGAGTCGAATTTAAGTCGGTTAACAAATTTACCTTCCCATCTGAGGTGGACGTTGAAATAAGATCCAGCCTCTTATTAAATAATCTCACAGTGTTGCAAGGGGCGCTGTACACTCATTTTCGCAAGGTCTTTTCTTCATTTTTTCGCACAAATTTTCGGAGAGCTGAATCATAGGTCAAAGTCAAATGGAAACAAACTGCTAGTCCGACCACTGCCTGGTTAATATTGCTCTTAGAACAGCGTTGTCATCGCAAAAATTCTTTTGACTTCCAAAAACTATAATTGGTAGGGTTTAGGTCTTTGTTGTTTTTTTAACTGAGAAATGCAGACAATTTTAAGGCATTTTATTCTCCAGATACTGTCAAATTATGCAAACTTACATAGTATTGTGATGGCTTAGACTTTTTTCCGAAAAACCCACCATTATCAGACAATATTTTCAGCACACAGAATGTTTCATCTGGATTGAACTTCTCGTGTTCACAGCAGAACTCTTTTGCCAAAAGTAAACAAACTGATATGGTAAAATAAATGTTATTATGAAGCTTCATTAATTGTAAATGTCAATGCCAAGAGAGAAGCCCGCAAGTCACCCAGATTCACAAATGGACATGAAATTTTTAAATTCTCAAATTTTGGCAAACTCTTCTCTGTCAGAATAGATGCCATTCACCAAAAGAGAAGCCACAGATCATCTTAATTATCATTAATTCTTCTTTTTCTACTTTAAGAAACATTCACCTCTTCAAATGCATTGTCCATCGTCAGACACAAACGGACGAACTATTGTTCAGATAAGTTATTATAATTAGTTGTGAATAACCATCATCATTTTCACGTCTGTTGAGCCAGCCACTAACTGAGAAATCGGAGACTTTTAGGGCTTCGGAACTGCGTAACATTCTGTTGTGTTCAACAATCTTTGACGGCTAAGGTGAAGGACACTTTTGTGTCATTTCTTCTGTCTTCAGTCCGCGACAACGGACCCATTAACGCATTACCCTGTGTAAAACTTACGTTTCTATTCGTTGACTTGACAAGCCAGACGCGATAAAGTGCTATTAATATTACTCTGTCTATCGAAAGTGAAATAAAAGAAGAAGATGATTTTTTTGATTTTTTTTTGGGGGGGGTTGTTTTGTTTTTTGGTTAGTGTTTTACGGTGCTCGCAACTGCATACGGTCATATGAGCGCGCGGGACCCACCTAATATTTTTAGTTGGTAGGAAATTTTGAATTTTGCCCGGGTGGCGGCCGAAGCCTACTCTTATCGATTTTAGACCAC